GGTACGCTGCGACCACTACGTGCGGCCAGCGCAAGTACAACCGACTCTCGTCGGCCGTCCGACGACTTTATCCCGCAACATTAACATAATTCAACATAGTATTACATGACATGATCAATTCTACTGAATTAACTAAAAAATAATGAATTTTGTTCGATGAACTTAAGGTGGTGTCGAGACGTGCGCACCGTGGGCTTATCTTCGGCATTGAGCCAATTATCGAACAAACATGAACTTTACTCGACCAACATGAATGAACTGAGCATATTAGACTGAATAATGACTACATAAGCAATAAACGCTCGAGAGTTTCCGGATAAAATCAACTTAACTCGGTACGAACAAGCATAGCATAAACCGAGTATAATCAAGCCTTTTACATGAATTTCTGGACATGAACTGAATAATTTCCCTTAAAATGATCTTACTAACATGAATGAATGTTGAGGATGAGGTTACCTCTTCAAGTGCTCGACTAACTTCTCGAGAACGGGCTTAATCCCTCCTCTCCGTGCGTGTACGTGCGTGTTTTTGCCGTGTGCGTGTGTTTATAGCTTAACCTTGTTTAGTGTTTGCTGATCATATAGCTTAAGTAATAAGCTACATTTTCACCCCACTTCTCACTATATAATCGGATGAAGAATGGTAATTTTTGGGATGAAAACTCTTGGCCAATGGTCGCGTGCCATGTGCTACGCATGCACGCCTTATGTGGCCTCTTGGTGCCTAGTCACCAAGTGCAAGTCTTAGTCACCTTCTTAATTCACCTCAAGCCTCCACATGGCTAATGTCATGATGGAAATTCACGTGTGTGTGGGAGACATTAACTCTCGGCCATAATGGCCGAGCTAAGCGTGCTTATGCACGCTAATGGCCGTGCTTAGTGCTAAGGCATGCATGAATGTACTTAGGTCATGCTTATGTCGTGCATTGAACATTGATAAAATAATTTTTTCGTAACTAAACATGATTTTATATTAATAAACATGACGGGATATTACACAATCAATCGAATTTTGGAAATATGGGATGCGGTACAAGATGTTTTGGATGGTATTATGGAGGATGCCACGGATTTTCAAAGTCGAGGCGTTGCTAAAGGTTTGGCTGATAAATCAACAAGTTTTGAATTTGTATTCATTGCTCATTTGATGGTGACGATATTAGCAAGCACAAGCGCACTGTCAGCGGCCTTACAAGAAAAGACTCAAAATATTGGCAATGCTCTTGTTTTGATTAAATCGGTCAAGAAAGATTTGAGGAAGTTGAGGGAGGATGGTTGGGAGGATTTATTGATGGAAGTCACAACATTTTGTTCTGAAAAAGGTATTTATGTGCCTAACATGGAAGATCCTATGCCGGGTTGGCCTAGTAGATCTCAAAGAGAAGTGGATGATCAACCAAAGACTTATTTACATTATTTTCGACGGGAAATCTTCTTTCAGGTACTTATGTTTCTTTAATTTCATATTAACAAATAGTTTATCATTTATTATTATATGAATAATTAGCTTATTTTCTAAATATATTAGGTTATTGATCGTATTTTACAAGAGATAGATAGCCGTTTTGAAGAGTTGAGTTCAGAACTTATTCAGTGCATAGTATGTCTTGATCCTAGAGATTGTTTTGCAAGCTTTGATGTTGAAAGACTACTCCGCCTCGCTCAGCTTTATCCAAATGATTTTGATGATGAGCTCAAGCTAAAAGCAGAATTGGATCAGTTTCACGATGTAGTCACAACATCTGAGCGTATATTTTTCTCTGGTCTTCAGAGTATTGGAGACCTTGCAAAGAGAATGGTTGAGAGAAATTGGCACACTACCCTCAAGTTAGTTTATCGGCTTATCGAGTTGGCTCTAATTTTGCCCGTCGCGACAGCTACTGTTGAAAGAGCCTTATCCTCGATGAAAATTATCAAGACTGATTTGCGTAACAAGATGAGGGATGAATTTCTGATAGATAGTTTGGTGTGTTACATTGAAATGGAACTCTTTGAAAAATTAATGATGAAGTTATTTTACAAAGGTTTCAAAAGATGGCGTCCCGAAGAATACAGTTACCGCCTGTCAAATCATAGTCATTCTTCTCCCTCGGTCGGAAGTTAGGTTGCTTTCTTGTTTTAATGTTTTGTATAACATTATTTGAATGATATTTTTAATAGTTTTTGTTTGGTATTATGTTCGTTTGGTATTATTGTAAAAAAAAAAATTGTTGTGGTCTAATGAAAAATCGGCCATCCCTTTATTCGGATTCTGGTTTCGCCACTGCCCTCGCCGTATGCCAGCAGTGGATC